CATTAACTAGGCACTGTTTCTTTGATATGGGAGGCTTTAGGGGCCTATTTTTCCATTGGTGTTAAAGTGCCATTTCATTTCTCTGGAACCCTTTAAGATAAGAAGTAAAAAAAGTAGCTCAGTAAAACAATCTTGTGTGCTGGGTCTGCATTCTGGCATGGAAAGTATTGTTTAAAAAGCTCTAGACTTTACACCTTGATTATTCTGTGCTTTCAGAGTGGTGGCTGAAGTCATACAGCAAAACAGTTTGCAGTCCTTAAGTGGTTTGTGTAGCGTGTGCTTATTAATGAAAACCTACTAAAAATCTTGTGGCAATGGATGAGTACTACAAAATTGGGTTGATATTTCTCCTCCAGCTTTTAAAGTATCTCTTTTTCTTCTGAATCTTTCAGAATATGATATTAACATTTATACCCTGGTAACATTTGTCGCAGCAGTCTTTTTTTTGGTATTCCGGTACAGTATGATACTCCTCCTTCCCTCCCAACTTGCCCTTTAATTACAACCTGTCACAAGAATGTCTGAAGGTGAATAATGTTTACATAGCAACCCTGATGGCTAGCCTGAAGGGTGCTGGGAACGATGCCACTCAAGCTGTTGTGTTATTAGACTCCTTGCTGTAGACAGTCTGAAAATGTGATATGCCTGGTGTAATACATTTGACATACTTGAAAGCTGTGATTTCACTGCTTGGAACGGGGTAGTAGAAACATTTTGATAAATGCTCCAGTGTTCAGATTATTAAGGTTCTTGATGATACTTAAAGAAGCAGTCCTGTTATGCTGTTTGTATTGACAGCAACACCAATACAGGGTAAAATGTTTAATATTTGTCCAAATTTTGATATGGATTTGCTGTGATCTTGTCTGTCTTTAAAAGCCTGACTTCTTGTATCTGCATGAAAGAGTCTTAGCTGACTGCTTTCAAACATAAATTACGAATGTCTGGCTCAGTTATGCTCACCAGGAAAGCTGTTTTATCTAGAATAGATTGATGCATTACTTAATAGAGGAACAGCGTTTCCATAGTTTTCACCAAAGCCATCACATAGTAGTCATTAAACAAGTTGTTCACATATTCATCTTTTCATATGTAATATTTGCTGTGAAAGTAGAAGGAGTAAGTTCAATTGAAACACTAGATGCAGCCAGTAAAAACATAGTAAGTAACTGAACTTTCTTGGAAAGTGCATTTTGAGGAAAGGCCACATGAGGCAGAAAGGGAAAAAGCCTTAATCTTGTAGCATCCCTCTAATCCTCTGCCTCAGACAAGCATAACTCATTTCGTCCAACTAGTGGTGTTGTCTAGATGGAAACAGAAGCCCTGCAGAGGACTGTCATCTTGGTGGTGGTATGGGGAAACAGATATATCTCAGAAGTAATGTCAACACAAACATTTGATAAATTTGAGAAAGTATAATCAATATACAAATGACATAAGGTCCATTTCTATTTAAAATTAGCCTGAATGTGGAACTTTTATTGTGCACTATTTTTATAGGTTTCAATAAATCTCTCTTAAAATGTAGGTGGTTTACAGGTTACTGAGGGTGATGTAACCTATTTGCTTATCTCCTCACCATGTTATCTTCTGTCTTAAAAGCACCTCTGTAAATTGTTTAGTGGACTACAAATTACATATTCACGTAGCTGTTATTAAACTTCTAGTTGACAATTTATGATAGCATTTGGAAAGGAAATAGAGCCCATGTGGGAAGTGTAAGGTGGCAGTTCCTGCTGTAAAAAGTCTGTGGCATTAATTAAAAGAAACACCTTGAGCTTTTTTTGTGGACCACTGATTTTTTTCAACTTTTTAGGATTTCTTTTTTTATTTCTTGGGTTTAAGTTACTGACATTTGAACGTTAATGAAGGTCACATTGTGGAAGAAAACTGTGTAGCTATTTCAAATAGTCTGTCCTCTCATGGCAGTCCATCAGTACACATGCCAGAAATAACACTTTCATGTGTTTTGAAAATATGGCTTCATACAGTGTATTTTGGCAGGCAAAGTTACCAGGTGGTGCTGGAACATTTCAGAAACATTGTGAACAAGTTCCTGTTCTTGTCTGTGGCAGAGGTACTCCTCTGTTGGGGAGAGGAAGGCACAAACATGTACTGAGGAACAGAACTATAAAAAGTCAAAGCTTTAACTAGGAAGACTGCAGTACTAGTTAGCAACTACTTCTAAATCTACTCTTCACTGAAAGTTACTATTTCCACTTTCAGTGATACAGTGTAAGAAGGCAGAAGGTAAAACTAGGAATGTCTTTAATCGGATCAAATTCTATTACCCTATGATTTAAGCCTTGACACTTTGCAGTTGTGGAGACAGGTGTATGTGCAAAGCTCTTGGAGGCTGAAATATGATGGCGGCTCTCAGCGTATGGCAATATACATGCCTTTGGGCTCCTCACTTGCAAATAGTTCCCACAGTGTTGGGGTACCAGTAGTAGTACTCTGTATTTTCCCTGGCTGTATGTTGAGATGCAGTATTTTGAGCTGTATTTGGAGCCTTTTTCACCGAAGATATGTAAACAACTGCAGACTGTCCTGTGACAACTTACAAGAAAAAGTCAGTTCATCTTGTGGTGGTATATCATCTCATTGTGCTCTTGTGCCTTCTGCCTGTCATTTGCTAACAGCCGCAGACTCTGCAGTTGCATGCTTCAAGGAGGCCCTGCAAGAAGTGAGAGATTCCTCACAGTAAGATTATAAAGGAACCTCTTATCGTACATAGTGAAGAAAATTTGTTTCCAGCCAAGGTTACTAAAGCTGTTCTAAAATACAGAGGGACACGGGGCTTAATGCTCAACCCCGAAATGCAAAGCATTTGTTTGCATATTTTCATATTTTCTAATATTACATGGAATATTAGTTTTATTATGGCTAGGGCATACAAACACTTGGAGCAGAGTTTACAATTTATTGTCTGAATTGTAAAGTTATCAGTAGACAAGAGAGTGGAATCTCTCTGCTGACACATGGGACACTGTACTTGCCAAATAACATTCTGCTTTCTCTCAGTCTGAACGTTTGTGGCCATTTTTCACTTCTGCCAGTTATGAGCAGCATTAGTGTCTGATACAGAGCACCATCCATTAGTCACAGGTGGAGAGCACTGTGAGGTGACAGATAAGTACATATGAAGTAGAGATGTCTGGTAGGAGTATTTCGCTAGGAATGTATGCTATTTTTGTACCTCATGGTATGCACAGCTGAGCGCTGTTTTTGACAAACAGAAATGTCTTTGTCTCTGTTTTACTGTATACCATAACTTCATGGACTGTGATTATAGCAAGAGGTTGTTGGACTCTCCCAATGAGAGGACCTCCATGTATATTACACCACCTCTGCATCAGAAAGCCTTTCTAAAAGCCTGGCATTTACTTTTCTCATGAAAAGTGGCATCCACATATAGTTTAACTTTACTATTAGCTGGTTTGATTGTTTGATTATGGGTATTTTTTCATTTGATCCTTTGAATCCTGTACTGACTTGACCCAAACTAATGGAAGAAGAGATTATTGAACTTCTTTTTGGTCTTCCTTAGGCAAGTAACTGAAGCAGATGTAACAGTCAAAATGTCTTGACTGATCACTATGACCTCTTACTCTGTCTCAACAAGTCCTCTGTGGTTACAGGTCATGTACTAGTTGCTCATGCCCTGGTTAAATCTATCCTGAAACACAGAGAAAGGAATGAAGTAGCTATGTCTGACACATAGTGAACAGAAATAAATTCCTTGCATATACAAAATACCTTCAGTGTGAAGCAAAAGTTCTCGCTTGGAAGGAGTTTAAAACTTTGGTCCTGTGAACTGTTACCTGGTAAAGAGTTTATTTCAGGATTTGTACTTGATCAGGTAATCATGTAGTACATCTTGTTCTGCCTTAGTATCTGTTATACTATCACAGGTAATTAGAAGGAATGTAAACGTAAAAAGAAATCCCGTGCACTGTTTGGATGGTGTGTCTACTGCTGTTCTAGAGTTGGTAATTTAGTTCTTTGTGCAAAGTTAGTTCTTTGTGCAGTTAGTTATTTGCACATCATACTTGCACAGGATTCTGGAATAATGTTACAAATTATTTTAAAGAGTCAAAAAGGGAATTAAAAGTATTTTACATACCCCTTTTGGATGCACTCAGTAATTTTATAAATTATACTAATTTTTCAACCATCTCAAAGACTGGCATGGCAGGGCAGTTTTTTTCACAACTATTACAAATAAAGTAAAAGTACTATAGTTTCTCTGATTAATCCATTTTGGTGGCTTGCTTTTTAATGTATTGCAGTCACTATTTAAAAGGCAAGTTTGACATGTGATACACAAAATGTTCCTTTTTTATTTTAATATTTTAAAACTTTTGTAATTTTAATTTTTTAATTATTATTGTTATTTTGATACACAAAATGTTGTTCCTTCATCAGTATAGCAACTGATGTATAATGGGTTAATTGAGGAGAAAGGCTTTCAGGGATTGGGGAGGGAGGAGGGAGATGTGCTTGCACTGTGTAAGCTGCCTATGGGCAGACTAGGAGCAGGGGAAGTGCAGCTGTTAGACCCCAAATTTATATTTGACATCTGTGAAATTAAGTCATGTGAAACAAGTTTGACAGGTAAGCAGATGCTATACCATCGAACTGTGATGCTTGTATATTTGGGATTCTACAGAAAACAGCTGGGATTTAGACTAATGCAGAGAAAAATACCTGTTTCCAGCAGTTACCTGAATATTAGAAAATCCTGTTAGGATGAGGTAAAGTCCTGCCTAAGCAGAGATAAATAAATTTCAGAGTTGTCAGTGATGCTTTCATGACCACCAGATTAATTCCAGCTGCTTCAACACAGGCCTGGGTTCCTGTGTTGGACTAGTTGGTGCAAAGAAGGAACTTCTAGGGCCCAATAATTTTTTCTTTTGCTTAACTTGCCACACTGAATATGAAGTTATTTTTATTTAAGGACTGTAATGTACAGCATGCTAATGATGTATCTGTTTCAGTTTGCAGCTCATCTAGTGAAAAACAAATATCCAAGGGTATGCATCCTAGATGGAGGAATCAACAAGATCAAGCCAACTGGTCTCCTCACTGTTCCTTCTCCACAAATTTAAGTGACTTTAAACATTCAGGACAATATGTCTGAATAGGGAAATCTTACCTGAACCCAAAGGGCATTATGGCATCTTCACTATACAAGCTATCATGATGATCATGTCTTATCCTGCAGATCTTGATCACAGGAGCTTTGTGTTTATTCTTTGGTATAGAGCTTCGGTTGGAACAGATGAAGACTGTGAAGCTTCAAGCTTTCCAAGAAACCTCTTTCAGCATTGATGTAGTGCACAACTAGTTGAGCAAGTCTGGACACAAAAAGAGTAACTCAGCTGACATTTGGTATCTTACAAAGATTTATGCAGAACAAAGTAAACTAGCACTGGATGGCTCTAAGCTGCGTTTAAATAGATTTTTCAAAAGTATTTTACTGTGAATGTTGAAACTTACAAGCTGAAACTGTACCCTGTGTGTATCCTGTGAAAAAAAGTGTGTTCTTGAATATTTTAAAGAGTAATTGCTGCATCTTGTAACCTACTTTCTTTTTGAGAAAGCATTTTTGCATCTGGATTAGAAATAAAGATGTGTCCCAGATTGGAAGTCACTGTAAGAGCTGCTGCTGAGTCAATTCAGACTGTATCATATCCTACAGAAGTGGAGAAGGCCTGCTCCTCCTTGGAGAATTTAACGTTCTATTTCCACAAACACAGCAAATGCAACAATTTCTAAAACAGTTACATTTGCCAGAAAGTTAGGTTGTTGACAATACTATGACTTATGACTACAGATCAGATACTCCATGAATAATAGTGCTTTCCCATTTTAGAATCTCATGCCTTAAAAAAGAAACACTGCAATTTTAATTTTCATACGAAAACATTTGACAGTAATCACTTTTGTATGAAGTGGAGGTGCAAAGTTCTGTTTGGTTTTCTGCTCTTTCAGATAGTGGTGTCAATTCTGTCTTTAAAAAAAAAAAAAAATCCTGCTTCTTAACAGATTAAAACTGACAGATTGAGACAATAAACCTGTTTCTAAACTAAGCCTGTTTCTAAACTTCCACTCATCTACGCCAAGTGCTGTAGATGAGTGAAAGCAGGCTTCTGCAAAGGGCATAAGGTGACTGTGCACTAGAGATGTGGAAATTGCTTTGCAATAAGCCAAAAGTATTGAAATCACAGACAGAAACGGGAATTGGCATCTCTCTGTTGCTCAAAAGCTAAATATAAATTTGATTCAGACAAGTACCATCTTTCTAGATATGTACAAACAAACCCACTCTTAATTTCTCCACATCAGAATCCCAGGTTAGCTTTGCTAGCATGTCAGGTCCATAATTCTAAAAATAATGTGGGAGAAAAAAAGGCTAGGAAAAGAAAATAATTTGTCTTCAAGAATGCCACTTGAAAATAGTACCCTTAATCCAGCAAAACCAGGTGTGATGAGACTGACAGTATGGCTCTGAAATTAAATGGGAATTTGAAATAATTTATTGTAGAAGACAAGAAACTTTAGATTTCTTTTTCTACAATTTTAAAGTTTAAAAAACACTGGTGAGACATGATGCTTAATGATCACTTAAATGTATGGATTAAAATGTATTTCGTAAAATGAACAACATTACACCAAAGATCTCTTTACATGGTTATAGTTGCCTGCTAGTTTGTGAACTTGACACCATACTGTTTATTAGATCATTATTCAGGACACAGCAGTTTATATGATACAACCTCACTGTTAGGGTAATGAGGATTTGCTCTGAAAGGTATGGTTATCTTACACCTTAGCTGAGGATTTTGTAGCATGAATAGTTTCTAGTTTGGCAAATGGAACATTGCAGCAGCTAACATTATTTCATTTTTCTTCTGTCATAAGTGAATTTCGAAACAGTTGTAAGGGAGACGGTCAGTGAGAAAGCTGTGAATAGTTTCTATAAATAATTGGCAAAATGATCACTTGTTCTGTGGGGTTTGGTTTGGGTTTGGTTTTTTTTGGGGGGGGAGGGGGAGAGGGGTTAGTTGGGCTGGTTTGTTTTAACTGAAACCATGGAACACAAGACCTTTAAGAAGATGCTGAAAGAGGACGTCTTTGTTCTCGCCTGTGCGAAGATCAGATTTTATCCTGAATCTACAGAAGCTAGTCATTAGCATCATGTGCTGTCTCCAGGGAGGTTTAGTCTTGCCACAGCTTTGGTTTGAGAATTTTATTGAAAAAGTATGATGAGTAAAAAACAATATGGGGGAAGGAAAGCACCTTTTAGCTCTCTATCTTGGCAGTGATTTGTCTAAAACAACTCTGTGCAATTAGAACATGCTGATATGTATACAGGCTTTCTTTGGTCTAAGGTCAGCATAATTTACTGAAGCTTTCGAGAAGTTTTTGACTTTAAAAATCCAAGATACCTGACCAGAGAGTGGTCAGAAATGAAACTTAGGGACAGATCATCATGTTCCTCTGTTAGCAGAGCTACAGAAGTTTCTGGTGAGGCCCTAACTTTAAATTTATCTGGAGACAGGGAGGAGCAGTGAGGTTACTAACAAGCTTCCCGATACTACAAAATCATCCACTGATCCAAATTGTGTCTGGCTGCATGTAGAATGAGAAAGACCTTGTGGTACTCAGTGTCAGAGAGATTCACTATGAAAGGGTACACATGAGGCCCTGGAGAACAAGTTTAAATCATATTCAACAGTGAATTTGTTGACAGATAAGACATCATTGCAAATGCAGCAGCCAAAAAGCCACACAGGTTATTATTCTGTTTGTGAGGAAATAAATTAACAAAACAAGTTGTGCCATCAGAAAATTAACTCCTATGGTACATTTTGAACACAGCATAGACACGATACACAGTGTTAGAATGGGCCAGAATAAGATGTTAGTTATGTTGACTGAAACTCTTCAGTTTGGAAAAAGAGGCAACCAAAATAGAACATCCTATCTTTTGTGGAAAGTACATCCCTAAAACCTGAAATTTGTCACCAGAAGAGGCCAACAGTTTATAAAAATACCCCTAAAGAAGGATTAGGCAGCTTTATGGAAGGGAAGAGCTCTCTTTCTCACTGTTAACCACAATGGTTGAGAAACAGTATTCAACTTGGGGTTTTCCTGGTCTGTTGATTAAGAGATGCTGAGAGAATAGAACTGCCTGGCAAGTTCTGTACCTAACAGCTGGTTATGGCTGCCAGTTGCTGGTGTACCTGCACTTACTACTTTAGTCAGCATTTTTGAAACTGTTCCTATCAATAGGCATGCTATGCCAACTTACTTTAATTCAGTTATGCAGGACAAGCACTTGGTCACAAAATTGGCTTCTGATTTCTTTTTCAACAGAGAAGGAAGATTCTTGCATTTTGTGGAAATTTATCATTAAAGAATTTCATCTAGTTTTTGAGGTATTTACCAAGTTTAAAAGCATCAAAATGTATTTGCTCTGTAACCCCACTATTTTTGGCACTGCTATGGTGGAGCAAGCAATTGTCAGGTTTCGTAGAGCTCTTGAAAGATTTCTGGAGGTCAGGTTTTCTAAACATGTACATTTCTAGCACTTTATTTATTCCAGCTGTACCATTGACATTATATTTTAGACTGCAACTGGATACCATAAGGTCTAGTAAGAGGGGAAAAATATACGTATGTGTTCTATGCTGATGTCTTCTACTGATAGCAGAAAAATGTCCAAACTATTTCCCACTGTTTGGCCTGGAAAGGGAAGCCTCTCCTAGTCTGTTTTTTTCCTACCATTTGTAAACATCCTGAATCTGTTCTAGCCACCTGGGCTGACAGCTTCGTGCCAGGACATGCAAATTCCCCACAGGAATTCCAGGTGGGCATCTAAGGAGAACAGCAAAGGAGCAAAAAGAGCAAAGCCCTCTTTTGGCAGTCTTAGACAGTCAGAGGACTGTTCTCCTTTAGACAAGACATAGTCCTTTGAGATTTTATTACACTTTGCATCTAAGTTTTACGGTTGTTGGGTTGGGTTTTTATTTGCTTGGGGTTTGGTTTGGTTTGGTTTTGGGGGTAGGAATGTTACAGGTGGATATTTGTCCTATTTGGTCCGCTTTTTTGAGCAAAGACTAAGGCTATCTGTTCTTATCCTAGGAACCTCCCTTCCTGGACCTGTCTTGTTTCCCTTTGTCATCCTGGTTTCTCTAAATCTAGGGCATCTATGACCATGGTATCTTCCCAATTCAGGATGGGAACAACTTGCCTTGTGTAGCAGAAGGGAGGAACTTGTGATGTTTAGTTCACTTTAGCTTTCATTAATCTGGTTCACTTCAGGTACTTCTGGTTTGTTGTTTGGGTTTTGTTTGTTGTTGTGGTTTTTTTCTTTTTATTTATCATGAGTTTTTGCTTTTGATTTATATTCTCTCCACTGGTAGTCTAAGTTATTTGCTAGTCAGTCTTTCTGATATTTCTGAAGTAGAAACAGTAACCATAGCAGCTCTGGAGAGACAGGTATGTATTCTTTCACTTAAGTGATTTATTTTTCCAGTGTCCTGAATAATCTCTAGAAGTGTGAAGGGCTAAATAATTTATCAGACTGGGTAAAGGGTTTCAATACCATCCTTTCTTTGTTTGTTTTTCCAGGCTTTAATCTACTATTAGGCTAACTGACAAGACCACTACGCTTCCTTTTTGCTATCCCTCTATGCCTTTGTGTAGACATAATCTGTATGGGCATAATACAGTGATTCAATGTTCTTTCTATGACCTTCTGGATATCACTATCTAGTCTTCCCTTTCTGTCCTAGCCAGCTAAGGAAGATACCCCAAAATACAGGAGTACCTCTGAGCTGGACTTCAGAGCTGCACCACACAAAACTCAAAAAACCAAACAAACCCAAACTCAAATAATATGAGCTCTTCAGCAGCTCTATCACTCATTTTACTATTCAGGGAGGTACTATGAGAGCCTGTTAGTTTTATGACCTGAGACATACTTGCTACTCCCATTTGCAGAGCGTGAATGTTGTCCAGAATATCCCTTCCAGAGATTTAATTTACATTTGCAGTTTTGGTATCTTACCAAGTTTCTTCAGTTAATATAAAAACTTTATTTACATTTCATAGCATTCATATTGAGTTACTAGGAGGTCTGGGAATTGTGTGGGAATGAGTGTGCCATTTTAATCTCCCATTTGCAGTTATCTTTTCTTTGCTGATGAGTCAGACTGGCCTCTCACTTTTATGTTAGAAACTTAACTACTGCCATCAGTATTATCTTGCTATTTTTAATTCTTTCTTCTGGGCCCAGCTTGTGAAGATTGGCTGAAAGTTATTCCTCCCAAAAGAGTGTTTCTTTCCAGGACAAGTAGTGAAACTTGACCTGTGCTGACTGAGAGAACATCTGATTTGTGTATTAGACTAGCAAAACTACAGTTTTTCCTTTTCTTTGAATCCCAAGCTATAATGCTAATATTGTCATTAGTTTAGATTCCCAGCCTCCTTCTCCCAGTAGAGAGCTGATGCCAGAAACTGCTTTCTGATTTAGAAATAGTGTTTCATTTGCCTTTCAAGTAACCATGAAGCTCAAAGTTTGCTGCTGGTGTGGTGCCTTTTAAGTAGTTATACTAAAATACCTATTGGACAACAGCTCGTGTC